AATTTCAGGTAAAAAAAATTCTATTCCGAGATTTAAGTCCTTTTTTTATTATAATAACAATAAATTAAATTTTATATCTCATATTAGATTTTATTGTATGAAAAATAAAAAAAAAAATCTTATTAGATTGTAATTTTAAAATTTTTTGTATTATTAATTTTTATCAATAATAACTTTTTTTTATTTATTTCCTTAATAATTATATTATTTTTTATTATTTATATTTACATATTTCGTGTTATATCTTTAAAAGTTTTTATTTTTCTTAAATTTAAAAATTCATTTTTTCTAATTAATATACAAATAAACATATGTTTCATATGTCAAAATTATCTCAAATAATTTTTTTTTTTCAATTCGAATTATCTTTAGTTATTTTTAATTTTTTTAATTTTTAATTATTCTTCTAATTACGTATCATACATCCCATTTAAATATACTCATCTTAATTACATTCATTTTTTTGTATTATTTTTTAACAATCTAATATAAAAAAATAATTACAAAAAAAATTTTAAAATCGACATTTAACATTTAATAATAATTTCTCTATCAAAATCTTCTTCTTCGAATAAAATACGCACTAATAAGTCAATTCGATGTCATATTGTATCGAATATATAAATTCCAAATACATTCTGCTATGGTATAATTAAAAGATTGAATATTAAACTTTAACTCTTCTATAAACAATTGCAATCAAACTCAAATTGTGTTTAGTAAATTAAGAATGTGACAATTGTTTTCATTTAACTTATTCTAGCTTTACAAGCCAGTTGGGTAATTGTAAATAGAACTCTGATACCCCAAGGAAAATCTTTGAAATTTCTAATGTGTACTAAAATTCAACTCGTTGATTCAAAGTAACCTTGGTCAGCTCTTCTTGCGTGCTTCATAAATGCAAAACTAGGTAACCGAAACCGCTTCAACAGCTGCAATAACATGGAAACTTATCCAAGAAAAAGATTACAAGATTTTCCTCCTTTGAATTATATATCTGTCGTCAAGTGTCAGGTAGAGGTGTTTTTCAAACAAAGTTATCTGAAAAGATGGAAAATTTTGTCCCTTTAATTATTGAAAGAATTATAATGTCAATGGTAAGGGCGAAGAATAGACTCATGGCTGTTGGAAGATCGTGTTTGGTGGATTTACCCTGATGATGTTTACAGGAAGGAATTATTTGCTTAATTAGTGACGTTTAGTATCATTTATTTATTTTTCTAATTGTTTCAAATCTAATTATATAATAAGATTCAAATCGAGCCGAATATGAATAAATTTAATTTTATTAATAATTATTTATTTATTTTTAATATTATTCGAGATTGATTTAGATTTGATATGATGTTTGAATATAATTTATTTAAGTTAAATGAATTTAATAGTGAAGATTAATATATTTATGAATATATAACGGAACATGTTTGCAATTAATTTAAAATTTATTTGTTAATAATAAAAAAGGATATCCAAATATATTTAAACAAATAATCTTATTGTTCATAACAAACTATCTCTAAAAATAATTCAAAATTAAAAAAATATAAGTAAATGTATGAATGAAGAAATGAAATAATAATAATAATAACATATATTATTATTTTATCATTGAATAATAAAAGAGTTATAAAGTAGAAAAATATAACCATCATTTTTATTTTCAAGAGAATCATGTTGACAAGGTCGCAAGCAATCGTATTGATCAATTTTTAGAGAATTAATTTGCATGGAAGCTTCATATATAAACTATACATTTATATGCTTAATTAGTGCTAGATTCTTCATACAATTGAAGCATTGATGTTTTACATTTGTACTTACTACGTTTAAAAAAAAAAAAAAAGAAATATTTGTCACAATTTTCCTCCCTAATCAACCTACCTTCAATTAAATATATTATAACTCAATATTTTTTAAATTTAGAAAATATACGTAAGCATCTCAATCATTTATAAAAACAATTAAACATGGCAAAAAAAAATTTCAAATGTAGGTAACCACCATAAAAAATTAACAAAAATAATATTTTTTAAAAAATAAAATAAAAAATTAAAATTAATATCCGTGTGATCTATTCATAGAGTATTGAATTTTTAATTTTAATAATCTTAAATATAAAAAAATAAAGAGATTTAAAAGTTGTATATCAAGTCTTGAACTATAAGGAAAAGGAAAAATTACATCATGATTTAATTTAGAGTTAATTCACAATTATTCATTCATATTATCAAATGTTAAAAAAATCCCTCAAGATCTGCTTTTGCCAAGTTGGGCTTGGGTTGACTTGCTTGCAATTATTATATTGGGCCCATATCGACATGGTCTCAACTCCTAAAGGCTAAAGCCTGCAGGCTGAAGCTTAAGGGCAAGGGCATCTATGTTGGGCTAACTGGGCTAGCCTAGGACTCGATTAATGGGTAAATGCTGGTTAGCTGGCTACTTGCTGGTTGATATGGCCCAAAGATCATGGTTAATTTTGTGGCTTCGTCTTCCACCATCGACATTAGGCAGCAAAAGCTAATTATACTATGATAGTATCCCTTCTGGCAAAAGCCCAAAACAATGCACTTGGTGCACAAAATTGGATTAATTATAGATCAATGTTATACTTTTTCTCATCCAAGGTTATGTGCTTTTATCTGCCATGTAAAACCGTCTTTTCTTTCTCTACAAGTTTAGAATTCATCATGTCAACTTCTCCCAGACTTTGAGAGAAATAAGAGGGCAGTGATACACATAATGACATAAAGCAAACTGCCTAGAAACATTACCTGTTTTTTTGGCTACTTCACTTGCAGTGAAACATGAAAAGTTTATTTCGACATGCAGTTTTTTTAATCTGAGAAGTACTGAAGCTAGATATATAAAACAGGCAGCAAGTTACAGATCTTGATAAATTTTTTTCCATGTCAGTAAGTTGCCTTTTACATAGATTCAGGTGGTTGGCCTTCAGATCATTTCAGGACCCAACTCTTCTGCCAGAGACAATCAAGCGATTGAGAACATGGCAGGATTGACAGTAGTCTGGTTCTGCCTCTGCCTGCTAACTTGGATTTTCACAGCCAGGTCCGAACCCCGAAAACAGAAATACAGTCTCCTTAATCCCTTTTTGGTTGATCCTTGCTTCTCAATTGTACTTGGATTGGAGCAAGATGGTCCAGCATTATCACTCTCAATGAAAATCCCGTTTTGTTTATGCAATGAGCTAGAAGAAGAAACGAATGACTTTGAGAATGAATTCGAATCTTCGAGGAATAGTTAACTGCGGCATGGCTTGCGTAACACCATGCATTATATCTGAAGCAAGTTTCTTCTTTGCAATTGGACTGGACTGATTACTCCTCACAGAAAGCGCTCTCTTGTTGTTAGGAAGTGATGAAGGCTTTGAAAATCTCTAAGTGGAATTGGAGTTTCTTCTGAGCAACCCTTATTTATTGATTTCTTTAATCGTTTAGGCTTTTTCTCCTTCAACCGAGGCCCATGGAGAACGCTTTTCAATTGCCGTGCTGCATTATTCATCGAACCTGGTTTGCTATCGACTGATGACTACTAGCATCCGATGTTGTCCAAACCCTACTCACAAAAACATATAGAGAAAACTATAAGAATGTGATTATAAATTTTTATAAACTCCAGTCAAAGAACTTGGATTTTGTTGAAATGTTGAGGTTGAATTGTCAGAGCAACTACTCATTTATGGAAAAGAGTTTACTGTAATGAGGGGGATTGAGGAGGCTAAACCAAGTTATCTGCATAAAATCTTTTACAGTTCGTGCAAAGGAGAAAAAGCTTCTGGTTCAGTAGAGCAGTGTTACACCAAATGGGAACCATAGGCCTATTCAAGGGAACAGATGGACAAAAGTCGATGACATAAGGGAAGAAAAAGGGAAAAGCGTATACCTCTCACAGTGAATCTCCTAAAGAATGATAGACTCTGAACCCACCACTGTTATGTTGGGTATGGGGCCGAGAAGAGGTGGCTTCCACTTAAAAGTTACAATGACAATATCAAAGATTTCGGGCCCAAATGACTGATGCAATGAACATTTCAATTAGTGATGACAGGTCCAATCGAATTTTTGCTCGAATTCAATTTAATTTTAAGTATATAAATTTAAATTATTCGATTCGATAAATTTTATTATTATTTTTATATTTGAATTTGATTTGATCCGATACTATATAAAATTGTATCTGATTTGAAATTAATAAAATATTATTTTTAATATAAATATAAAATTAAATATATATAAATAAATATAACATTAAATAAACACTTAAAAAAAGAAGTTATATATATATATATATATATATATATCAGGTTGGGTTTGCTTAAAATCCGACTCCAATCAGACCTTAAATTTTTTTTTTTTATGTTACCCGATCCGATCTGATGCCTGATTAAAAAAAAAAAAAACGACCTTAAGAGATTAGGTGGGTCGAAACCCGTCAGTTTCGAATTTTTTTTACTTTTTCGAAATTAATAAATATTATTTTTTAAATATAAAATATTATTTTAAATATAAATGTAAAATTAATATATCTAATATATATAAATAATATAAAATTAAATAAATAATTAAAAAAATAAGTTATATATAATCAGGTCGGGTAGGGTTAGGTTTGCTTAAAACCCGATCCCAAATTTTTTTTATGCCACTCGACCCGATGTCCGATTAAAAAAAAAAATCGACCTTAAGATATCGGATCGAAATCCGTCGGTTTCAGATTTTTTTGCTTTCTCTAATTTCAATTACGAGTGAAAGTATCCGTACATGATAAATGTCATTTTAGTAGAGGAGAGAGAGGAATGCAACAACCAATTGATTCCAGTGGTTGCCTCTATTCTTGAGATGTAGGGAATGTACAACATAGCGAGAAGATTTGATTGATTAATTTATGGTTTTGAAATTGAAATTATATCTGATCGTGGTATTTGATTTTATACCCTGATAATGTACATTATCTCCATTGTCTTGATAGAAAAATAAAAGGCCATATGTAATACTTTCCCATCTTTTATTTTAAGTCAATGTAATGTTGAATAGAAGAATTACCATGGTAGCTTTATGCAATAAGCAGCCATACAACAATTCTTCATCATTGGATATGGTAGATTATTTCTCGTTAAAAGCAGTTCTAAAGAGAAGAGAAAATGAAAAACTAGAAGGGACAGCCAAACAAAGCAGCATTTGGAGACACAGAGATATGCTTAATTATTTTTGCTTTGCCTTCATTTCTATTCCATCAATACACACGCAAATGAATCAACGGAGGGAATCCCAGAAGAAAGGATGCATCGTTCTTGACAAAGAAATAATGCCTCATATAAATTACTTTCAATAATCGTAGTATCAGTTTTTGGCCTTGACCGAATTGTTTTCTTTTATCCTTGCTCGGTTGTCCAACTTGACAAAGCGTTTAAGATCTTCATATGGAAGTGTTTCAATGTTTTTCCTCCTTAGCTCACTCAATGCTGGACGTTTGTCAAGCAGATGCCACAGCCAATCAGGGTACTCAGAATCGGGCATGATTTTCGAGTCTGCTCCATCCTTAAGTATATTTGCACCAACCACTGTTGTCGACTTCACTTCTTTGCTGAGTATTGATGCTTTTGGCGCATCACTGGCTGCCCCTTTAGAGCCTTTCTTAGTTTTGCCAGCCCCTGCAGCAAATGTTCGATGTCCCACAGCAACTGCCTCCTTGGCAACAATGACACTTCTCAATGATCTGATCTGATTTAATGCCATGGCTTTATCCCTGTAAAATTTATGTCAATAATTGTAGAAACATGTAAAACAAAAATAAAGAAACACTTATTTATTGATTTATTTTTTGTACCGGTGAAGCAAAATCATTAACAGGCACCAAGAAGTCACATTGATCCAACCATTCACTTTATCCATACCCAGGTTGGACGCATTGCAGACACCTCAGATAGACATGGGTATGACTGTTGGACCCTCCAAAATAAGGAAAAAAATTTGTAAATGCTGTAGCCATGTTGGATGTGGAATGTTTCTGATACATGTACCATGTTTGGGAACATGGATAGGATCCAAAGAGGACATTGCAGCTATCACTTCAACATTTTGAGGAAAGAAAGTTCTTAAAAAAAGTTTGTATCCTAAAATCAAAGGGCCAATGCTTATTCATGAAATCAAAGCTACTAGGTGATGAAATAGAGAAAAAAAAAAATGAAAAAGAAGAAAGTTCTTGGGATTGGGTTTCCCTTAGTAGATAAAGACTAAGAGTGCCTGGATACAGTTTCATATCACAGATGCTCAAGAGGATAAAAAGGATATGCAGAAAAAATAACCATGAAATTACAACTTCATCAGTCATAATTATTCAAGAAATATCGCCATCCTACTTTACTTTCCAAAGAGAAGAGAAAACATGTCAATCTCCCATCCATTTATAATCCATTGAATCCTATCAAGCTCATTTATAGCATGTGCAATGCCCAAAATAATACTATAACATCTACCTTAAGAAGTACCACATTCGCATCCAATATCATAACTCCAAGCAACAAGCCTATATTGAGGAGAAAAAAAGTACAAGGGGAGTCAAAAGTTCACTCAAGCAAATTCATTCTATAGGCATCTGCTTATGCAAATTTGAATAGAACAGCATTTCTCATGTATCTTAATCATTTAAGTCCAAACTCCAAATACCATGGAAACAAGATTCAAGCTTCTTAAAACAAGTTGCAAGTGTTAAATCAAACATATACTGTTGAACATCCAAACTTAATTATAAAAACTTTACAGAACTAAATCAAAGAAGCATCCATTCAACAGAATATCCAACCAATCGCAATAAAAGAAAAAGGAAAAAAATAGGCAGTGCATTTTCTCTCCGGGTTTGGAGTAAAAATAAGGTAAGCCAATTGGGCACGGCAAGAATAGGAATGAACTTTGTCTGATTGATTTCTAGGAAATCAATGGAAAAAAAAGGAAAAGAAAATTCCATTTCTTTTTATCTCTGCTTCAGCTATTTATCAGTAACTAAACAGTGCAATAGAAAAGAAAAGCAAGTTAAAAGAAGTTACCTTTCTTGAGAATTCGTAAAGTTAAATTCTTGCGCCTCCCTTTCGGATTGAAATTTAGGAATTTAGGGTTTCTGAGACAAAATTGAAAAAAGAGCTTCACCTCCCGAAGAAGAAGATTTTTATTGGAGTGGACTGCAAAACTTTGGGCTTGTTTGGGCTCATCGTTTTCCAGCTTAATATGAAGATTCCCAGTCTTAATAGGCCATGATCCATTAATGGAATGGACCTCTATTAAAATTTGGGCTCGTTTGGGCTTAACATGGCTGAGTCGTTGATCATCCTATGAGGCCAATAATCAAGGAGAAATAGTACCAGGGTAAAATAAAAATTCGAAAAAATAAAAAGTTGTTAAATCGAATTGCATTAAACTTGTAAAATTCAGTTCAATTTGATTGAAGTCGAACAAAGACTTGATTTAAATTTTGATCAAATTTAAAATTTTTTAATGTTATATAAAAAAATCAAATCGAATATATTCGATTCAAATAGTTAATCCATTTAAATTTTTGGATCAGAAAGGCCGAAAATCTCATAAAAAAGCCCAACCCAATGGCTTTCCAATTTCCCAAGTTTCATGACCTACCTAAACCCTAAAAAAAACCCTCGTCGATGACTTTGCTCATAAAAACCAGAAACCCCCAAATCAAAATCAAACGAAATTGCAAGAAATGGGAAGCAACCAAGCCGCAGTCTCTTTCTTAACCAACCTCGCACGTGCCGCCTTGGGTCTCGGCGCTGCCACCACTGTCCTAAACGCCTCCATGTACACGGTAGACGGTGGCCAAAGAGCTGTGATCTTTGACCGTCTAAGGGGAGTATTGGATGAAACGGCGGACGAAGGCACCCACTTTTTGATCCCATGGCTACAGAAGCCTTTCATCTACGATATCCGTATGAAGCCCCACACTTTCTCATCTGTTTCTGGAACAAAGGATCTGCAAATGGTTAATCTTACTCTTCGAGTTCTTTCTAGACCTAAGGTAATCAAGACAAAAAAGCTTTTTATTTCTTTAGGTTAAACGGGTTTGTTTGATTTTTGAGATTTTTTTTCTTTGATAAAGAACTAAAGCATTTTGATATGGGCATGCTGTTTTTTTTTTTTAATGATTTTATGAAATGGGTTAATGAAGGTTCTGGGTTTTGTTTTTTGCTTGTTAAGAAATGATAAGTCTTATCCATGAAATGAGCTTGTCAATGTGGTCAAGAGTTGTGGACCAACTTACTTCTGCTTTCATTCTAGTTTTGCTTGTGTATGTATATTTGGTGAATCCACGGATTTAGTTTATTCTTTAAAGACTAATGTCTTATTGGTGGTATTTTTGCAAAAGGTGGATAAGCTTCCTGAAATCTATCAACGCCTTGGTCTTGAGTATGATGAAAAAGTGCTTCCCTCAATTGGCAATGAGGTGTTGAAAGCTGTGGTTGCACAGTTCAATGCTGATCAGCTTCTCACTGAGCGTCCCCAAGTGTCAGCATTGGTCCGAAATTCACTGACCCAACGAGCAAAGGACTTTAACATTGAGCTAGCTGATGTGGCTATTACACATTTGTCATATGGAGCTGAATTCTCCAGGGCAGTGGAGCAGAAGCAGGTGGCTCAACAGGAGGCAGAGCGTTCCAAGTACATTGTGATGAAAGCTGACCAGGAGAGGAGGGCTGCTATTATCCGGGCGGAAGGTGAAAGTGAGGCTGCAAAGTTGATTTCTGAAGCAACTGCAAGTACTGGTATGGGGCTGATTGAGCTAAGGAGGATTGAGGCATCTAGGGAAATTGCTGCAACTCTTGCTAGGTCTCCTAATGTGGCATACCTGCCTGGTGGACAGAACATGCTTCTAGCTTTGAATCCATCTAGGCCATGATGGCTGCTTGAATTATGGTAATTTTCATTACCTATATATTTTACATGGCATTTGCAGTCATTGTTAGTTCCTTACTTATATGTTCATTTGATAATCTTCACTGCTTGACATCACCTGAGTTTTCTGGCAGAAAATGGATACTGCTTTCCTTATGTTAAACAAGGAGGTTGCTTGAGTTCCACTTTTGACCTGAATAAAAAATTTATTCAATGTTACCCTTTTGAAAAGCAAGTCCGGCAATGAAATTAAAATTTTTTTAAAGTCAATTTCTGCGTTTCTTTTGAATAAAACGCCGTAATTGGTAATTTTTTTTCTTTTGTAATTCCATATATTCTATAACTGGCTATTATGGCATTTTCCTTAAACATATGCAGTAATTACCAAATTAGTTTTGCATTTGATGATTGGCTATTACAGCGTTTACCGTGTAGAAACGCCGTAATTGACCAATTATTCCAGTTTCTATTTTTCTTTGGCTAATTATTGCAGTTTCTGTTGGGTACCACCATGATACATGACAATTTCATAATGATTTATTCAAGTACTATCAAAATCATCATTGCAGCAAAGAAATAGTATTATAATTGTCTTATTTTTATTTTAAGGTAATGTTAATTATGTGAGATGTGGTGCCTGCTATGTTCTTTAATTACTATTAACTTGTAGGTTATGATGTGTTGCTGATTTAGTTGATTTCAGTATTAACATGATATTGAGAACAAATCACACAGAGTAAACAACTATTCCTTACCAAAATATTAAAAGGTAGTTGCTTACTCTTGGTCTGATTTGTTCTGAATTACTATCATGATGCTGTGTCCATCCACCATCTATTTCATGAGGGTGTTGCTTAGAAGTAAAAATGCCTGCAGTTCATCTGCTCTCCTCGTCTAGATAGAATTCACAATTGAGTTTTGCCTTTTGTTTGGTATTTTCATTCTTTTTGGATTACATGGTGAATGCAATTATGATCCTTAATAGAAGGCAGTATATGTAATACCTTATAAGGGCAGTGACTTTTGCATTGTTACTTTTTCGAGTTCAGGCCTTACGAAGATCAACTATGACCTTTACTGCTGTTGTAATGGTTCTGATTTTTCCTTTGGCTGCTGCAGGATCTTATGACTTGGAGTGAGGCTGGACAGGGTGAATTTGCATGTCTTTTGCCTTATTGATGGCAACATTCTGGTTTTTGAAACCATCTTATTTGTCCAAAAAAAAAAGAAAGAAACTTTTAAGGACCAGATGTTTAGCATTAAAAAGTTTTTGATGTTAAGTCGGAGAACATGTGGCTTTTAGATTTAGATCATAAGTATATTCAGACATTTTAGAATTTCAAAGATGGTTTTGCTGCTTTATGTGTTCAATTCTTGGTTGTTTCCAAGTATACTTAAAGCTTTTCCTTAATCCTATCTTGTTTGGTTCCCATTGCTGATAAAAATTCTTCAAAGTTATTTAATAACAGATGCTTGATGTTCTATTGGTCTAAAAGCTGCCTACCTGAAGGAATTTGAGAAATGTAGATGCTTGATAGTTGCTATGTAGATTGTTTGATGTTCTGATACTGGATGAAGTCATGAAGATGATTATAATACAGAGAGATGGGCTCATTTAATTTTTTTTCTCACCTGCTTGTTTAATATAATTATAACTTTGATTAGTTGATGTTCTTCGACTATGCAACCTCAACGTTCATCAGAGCATTAACCAATAGAGGTTAGTGTGAATCCAATTCTCAAAAATGCCTCAAGCAGATGTAAATTAGTTCCTCAATAATCTTAGACGTAAATTAGTCAACACAATAAAATATAGTAGCAATACTATAATTTTAAAGCAGGATGATCAAGTTAAACATCATACACATTAACTTCATCCATAAGACAAGCATACAACAAATCATACCAATACAGATTTCCAATGACAGCAATCGGCTAACATAAACAATAGGTTTTACTACATAATTACAAGCAAGAAAAGGCAAAGGCCACAATCATGTCTTTTTTGCAATGGACAACACGGATTGTTTGATTAACGTGTCTGTTGATGTTCCTTAGAAGACTAAGATCATTCTTGCTTGAAATTTCAAAAATAAAATAGATTTTGTTGGCTTTGAAATGATTTCTTCAATGCAAAGTTTGAGCAAAAAATTTATCTTCGAAAAAAAGAAAACAAAACCGAGAAGAAAAGAGGTAGGATTGTAAGCTGCAACATATATATATATATATATATATATATATATGGACATTTATCAAAATTAACAAAATTATTTGAAGGAATGACAAAAAAGAAACGAGTTTAAAAGTTAAAAACTCAAATGAAAAATTTCGAAGCTTGACGACTACAAATGAAATCGAAATAAAAGGTTAGAGTTCCTACATGAAATTCATCCCTTTCTTTTTAAATACAAACTAAATTGTTAGTATTTTTTATTATTATAAAATATTATCAAATTTTACTTATATTATACCAAGAGCAAAATTAAATTATTAATATTTTTTATTATTATCATAGTACAAAAGATTATTTATTAAGATGAATTTTTAGAGATAAGAATTACATAAAACTAATATATATAAGGAGAAAAAATAACTTTAGCACCTCACTAATATTAAACATAAATTAGTCCATACATTAAAATAATGCATTGCAAGCTAAAGATCTCACAATAAATCCATACAAACAACAATAACACAAGGAGGGACCAAGTACAGCAATAGACGCACAATAGGTTTTTACAGAGTTTTAAACAATCACATAATACTGAATTTTTTTTTTTTTAAATAAACACAAGCACAAAAGAGGTAGAAGCCTATCATCTCTTTTTCTTCCCATGGATAACAGCTCCTCTGCTTCAGTCTTTTATTTATATTTCCTGGAACTATAAAACACAAGATAAAATTATAATTATATTATCAAGTGATTTGTATAGAGAAAGTTTGAACATAAGTAATTTGGAGAGAGTAATAAACAGAAAAAGTACCGGCAGCATTGAGAACTCTATGGTTAAGCCAGGAGGTGCGTTTAAGGCTTGAATATAGTCTTCCCTACGAACACTCGGTCCACGCCCTTTGTTGAATATAACCAGACAGTTGAGATGTTCGTTTTTGTGAAGTTTGGCTCTCTTAGCCTCTTCCACATCTAGCACATTTCCCACCGGTTCTATCCAAAGAGTTCCACGAAGGAGGTTCAGGTTTTCCAGATCTCCAACACTGAATTCTTTGGCGTCATTGCCATCTACTCTCGCTATGACTCTGGTTAATTCCCTGAGAGAAGTTAATCTCCCAATCCCTTTTGGGTAGTATTGTAGGCTCTCACAACCATCAGTACGAAGATACCTCAGCTTGATCAATTTCCCTATACCTTCTGGTAGTTTCTCAAGATTTATACATCCAAAGAGATCCAAGTATTGCAAATTATGCAGTTCACACACTACTTCGGGCAATTCCTTTAAAGTCTCACTGCAACTCAAATTAAGGTATCTCAAATGAATTAACATCCCTATTTCATCTGGAATTTCTTTTACATTTGCGCAAGAACACTCATTACCCATGCAAAAATCCAATAATCTTAGAAATTTCGCTCCCTTGAAGAAGGCTTGCAAGGCTTCACCAGTTACATCACACTCTTCACCAACAGCTACAAGGCTCCGTAGTTTCTCTATGCCTTCTATAGACACAGGAAATTGATCCCCTTTTGCAATATTTACCCTCAAATGATGAGTCTTTTTGGAAGATAAGTCCAGCCTCACATTTTCACTGCTGTCAACCTCTACTGACACAATTTCTTCTTTTGTCAAATATTGAAGAAAATCATGGACCATGTCGTGCATCTTACATTTAATTATGTTACCATCCTCATCTTTATCAAAATCCTGAAAAAAAGAACAACATGCTAAGTAGTTGAAGTATTCACCACCTTTTTTTTCTTCCATCCCAAAATTCTCCTTAGTGTTTAGATATCCATGTGCCATCCAATGCTTAATTAATTCAGTTGACCAAAAAACAAAATCTTTGGGGAAGATTGCACAATACAATAAGCATGGTCTTATTTGTGAGGGCAAATCATAATAACTTAGCAAGAGAGGTCTGAAAATGTCTTGTTGTGCAACATTTAATTTCCATATCTCACTATTGAGTATAATTTGCCACTCATTCCTAGTATTTTTCTCCTGCAACAATCCTCCTAAAGTCTTAGCAGCAAGTGGTAAACCTTTACACTTCTTTGCTATTTCCTGTCCAATACCCTCTAAGTTTTCACGCAACTCATTTTCCTTTCCCATAAAGGCCAATTGACTAAGTATTAACCAGCACACTTCATCAGATAATTCTTCCAAATGAAACACTTGAGAGGATCCCATCCCCATTGCAACTGATTCTTTACGAGTAGTCACTAAAATCTTACTTCCTGACATGCCTTGTTGAAAAGCAGCCTTTAGTGGCTCCCAATCTTCATCACGGTCTGTCCACACATCATCTAAAACAAGCAAGAATTTTGCACTTCTGATTTTTTCACAAATTTTGATCAGAATATCTTGTAAGGGAATTGGCTTTTGGAGGTTGGTAACTGAACCTCGGTCGAGGTGTCTTAAAATTGCTACCGCAATTTTGTTTCGATCAAAATGGTCCGAGACACACACCCAAATTGCATTGTTGAAGTGTGCTCGAACTTGATGATCATTAAAGATATATTTAGCAAGAGTTGTTTTTCCGATCCCTCCCATCCCTACTAGAGAGATGGTCTGAATGCAGCCGTCATCACTAGTCCCATTCAACAATTTCTCCACTATCTCTTTTTTAATCTCATCTCGACCATGTAACTTGGACACATCAATAAAAGATGTACTCTCTACTCGTCTAAATTGTTTGGTTTCTCTTTTTGTCAAATGATATCTATCTTTCGCCTTTGCAATCTCATCTAGCCTTTCATTGATTGCTTTTATTTTGCTACCTATGTCACGACGCCTAAAAACTTGAAGAAAAGAAGAAACCCATGAAACGAAGGAAGTTTTCATCCTCTTGGGAATAGAAGCACTTACATCTAATTCAGGATCTGTTTGTAACTTGGAGAGTGCAGTGCTCCACTCATCCAACACGTCCTCCACGTCATAAGACGCTTCTTTGAGCTTTTCTAACCAACCTTTCACATTTTTCTCCACAATTTGCCTTTGCTCTGCATCTTCAAGTATACCGCGGATGGCCTTCAAAGTGCTGTCAAGCTTTTCGACTTCTTTCTCAACATCTGTTACCAACTTCAGCTCTTGGCGGGCATGCTCAATAGTGATAGCTGTGAGTTGCTCCAAGATGGAAGAAACAAGTGCTTCGGCCATTTTGAGAGAGAGAAAGAGAGAGAGAGATTAATTGATTGATTAGTGAAAGAAAATTGATGGGCGATTAAAACATCCAATTCAACTTTATTCAGCAATAACTTTTACTAGATGCTCTATAATTGAAGAAACAACTGCTACTGCCAATATCCTAAAAGAAAAATAGGTGTTGGTAATGGTTAAAGGGAAATTAAAGGGAGATGAGATCTGGAATTTCAGGGAAACTACAGTGGTGACCTTGGGATTAAGTAGCAAGTAAAACGCGGGACCCACTTCTATAATTGTTGACTGTTGACTGGTAACCTGCTGTAAAACAAATGATGAAGCTTTTCGTATCAACTACGAGGCAACTGCAAAGATTTTTTTTTTTTTGACAAAATTATCAAATAAGTAACATAAATAATTTTCATGTAGCGATTAAAATTTTTTTATGAAAATAAAATATCCCAAGAGCTTTTTATAATAATAAAATAATAAAAAAAATAATAATTCTTTGTTACTTAAAACTTTTTATTTGCCGGTTACCATCGCTTTTGACTGAATGGCGAATATAATGAGAACCTTAGAATATGCTTTTTGCAAGTTGCAACATCACCTGTACAGCTCATGGCCCAACCACCGAAAAGGTTGTTTGCATGAGAGGTATTGGTGAGGGGCATGGTTGAACATTTGAAGTTTTACCACTTAATCTTTCCATGCGTGGAATAATTTATTTTTGTTACATAATTATAGTTGAAGATCACATACTTGCATTATGAAATCCATGCTCATAAAATAGAGACGTAAATGAAAAGAAAGAAAGATAAAAGAAAAAAAGAAATCCTCTAGGTCAAAATATATTTTTTAGAGTCTTTGGCATCATGCTAGAGTTCTTCCGACCGCATTGTGAATTCTAGTTATAAAACACCTTCATGGAACGGTAAGACGAACTCCCATCGCCCTGACAAAGGGATAAGCTTCCAAAATGGTCAGGCGAATAAGGTTCACAAAACATAAATCTATTAAAACACTACTAATTTGGGGAAATATAGAATTAGCATCGCATGTACTAGATTGGAGATCATCCAAAGTATGGATGCCTATCCATTTCTCTCTCTTAACCATGCCAAGCCACTGCAAGTAAGAAAATCATGGAGATCATCTTCCGCGTACAATGTTTTATCTGCAG